GATGAGTGGCGCTGCCCACTCACAGGATGAGTGGCGCTGCCCACTCACAGGATGAGTGGCGCTGCCCACTCACAGGATGAGTGGCGCTGCCCACTCACAGGATGAGTGGCGCTGCCCACTCACAGGATGAGTGGCGCTGCCCACTCACAGGATGAGTGGCGCTGCCCAATACTGTCACTATGGTGGTGTTTCCACTCACAGGATGAGTGACGCTGCCCAATACTGTCACTATGGTGGTGTGTCCACTCACAGGATGAGTGGCGCTGCCCAATACTGTCACTATGGCGGTGTGTCCACTCACAGGATGAGTGACGCTACCCAATACTGTCACTATGGCGGTGTGTCCACTCACAGGATGAGTGACGCTGCCCAATACTGTCACTATGGCGGTGTGTCCACTCACAGGATGAGTGGCGCTGCCCAATACTGTCACTATGGCGGTGTGTCCACTCACAGGATGAGTGGCGCTGCCCAATACTATCACAATGGCGGTGTGTCCACTCACAGGATGAGTGGCGCTGCCCAATACTGTCACTATGGCGGTGTGTCCACTCACAGGATGAGCGGCGCTGCCCAATACTGTCACTATGGCGGTGTGTCCACTCACAGGATGAGCGGCGCTGCCCAATACTGTCACTATGGCGGTGTGTCCACTCACAGGATGAGTGGCGCTGCCCAATACTGTCACTATGGCGGTGTGTCCACTCACAGGATGAGCGGCGCTGCCCAATACTGTCACTATGGCGGTGTGTCCACTCACAGGATGAGTGGCGCTGCCCAATACTGTCACTATGGCGGTGTGTCCACTCACAGGATGAGTGACGCTGCCCAATACTGTCACTATGGCGGTAGTGGCGCTGCCCAATACTGTCACTATGGCGGTATGTCCACTCACAGGATGAGTGACGCTGCCCAATACTGTCACTATGGCGGTGTGTCCACTCACAGGATGAGTGGCGCTGCCCAATACTGTCACTATGGCGGTGTGTCCACTCACAGGATGAGTGGCGCTGCCCAATACTGTCACTATGGCGGTGTGTCCACTCACAGGATGAGTGACGCTGCCCAATACTGTCACTATGGCGTGACGCTGCCCAATAAACTCGCCCCTCGCTAGTGTTGGACGGGAGGAAGGTGTCCCGTGTCTGAACTGTGTGGAGACCATTACAAATGTCACCCCTTAATGGGCGCCATTAACTGTGGGGTAGACGGGGCTTGGTTGGGGGGATGGGACGTTATGAGAGATCTTGGCGGGGGGGGGGGGGGGGGGGGGGGGAAGGTGGACGAGAGGGGGGGGGAGGGTGACACAGCTGGGGGGGGGGGAGGAGTGCCAACATGGCACTCACTTCTCTGCCAGTCAACTGACCATGTCTGTCAGTGGGTATAGGCCTAAGCTGTTTGGAGAAACAGCTAATAAACAGTGTCCACACAAGAGAGGTGTGTTAGGCCTACACTCAGAGTGAGGGGAGGGGGTGGGGGTCTTCACGGAGGTATCAAGAGACATAGGGACATTGACTTCATGTCGTTGGTGGTAAGCCCCAGATAAAAGGCTTAGCTGTAGATTATTGCTGATGGAGAATTCCAAAGTTCCATGCCAATGTTCCCTTCGTTCATAACATTCCCATAATAATGGCTTGAGGTATAGAACTTGAGCTAGTATGAGGCTGACCAAGTTTAATGAGATAACTCACAGTTATCACCTTAACATTGTCTTCTTCCTCCTCTCATTTCTCCCTTCAATTATCTCTGTCAGTCATATCTTTGCTCAGCTGCTTGTAATTAATATATAAGCCACCTTATCGCTTCGCTTTGTATACCGCATTTTGACGTATCTTCTAACACCAAAACCTGATGTACTACAAATTCTTAGTCTCGCAAGGTGGCGGGATGTTCCGTTTTCTATTCGTAGGTCCTTGGTTAGGTTAGACTCGGGCAATTTAGTACAACAGTTTATTGACGTTGTGAACGCTGGAGAGGAGCTGAATAGTCTCGTGTGGGTGTCGACGGCTGTGAGTGTGGTGGCCACATGAGGATCGTACTGTATATCTCAGGCTTTACCCAGTTGGTGATGGCTTTGATATGTACAATATATATATATGTTATATATATATATATATATATATATATATATATATATATATATATATATATATATATATATATATATATATGTTTCATTGAATATGACCGCATATTCTGTATTTATTATTTTTTGGTTTAGGGCTTCTATCCCTCTAACTATTTTCTTAGCATCAGGGCTTAATTGGAATAGGAGTTCTCCAAAACTCATTTTCGTACTTTTAAGGTGAAGAAAAGAAGTGATTTACTATAGAGTGTATTACACTTATTTGTATAATTTGCACGACGTTTCGAACCTCCATGGTTCATTCTCAAGTGAACAGATCTTACAATACTAGTTGATTTTATACCCGCATTAGGTCAGGTGATAATACAATGAAGGTGAAAAACATGGGGGGATACATAAGGGATAAACATAGGGGCTGCAGAAGGCTTATTGGCCCATACGAGGCATCTCCTATCCAAACACAAAGATTAATCCAGTGTAATTGGCCTGTTATGTTGGACATTGTCTTCTGTGTTGGCATCGATATGTTCTTGTCTTGTCCTTACTCTCATGGTGGGTAGAGTAAATAGTTCCGTGATTTGGGTGTTCATGGTAGGTCGCTCTATTCTTATGTGAATTGCCTCAAGAATTTGTAATCTTCTTGAATCTTGGGTTTTGTCTATTATGCAAGTATTCTTGTTCAACATTTCTCTTGTTAGAGTAATGTCATGGGCTTGTCTCATGTGATTCCTAGGGGCACCAGATTGAAGATGGCATGTCAAACGCCTCGTCAGCTTGGTCGACGTCATACCTATGTACTTACATTGAAGGTTACATCCTTCGTGGGGGCAAGTGTACATGTATACAACGCTTGACTGCTGTAGAGGGTTCTCCGTCGGCTTCGGGCTGTTTTTGATAAGGAGTTCGGAAGTCTTCTTGGTTTTGTAGAATATTATCAGGTTTATGTTTTGGTTAGGAGTAGTGCTTTTTACTCCTTTACGGATTATTTCTTTCATTATTCTTTCCTCTTTTATATGTTCACTGTGCATGGTTGATTTGTAATATAATTTTATTGGGGGTGTTGTGGTTTCTGTTCTAGGTTCTGAATTATACCAACGGTCCAAGTGTCTTCTTATAGCAGCGTTTATTTCCGCGTTGCTATATCCGTTGTTCAACAATACCTGAGTTACTCTTTCAAACTCTCTACTCACGTTGCTCCATTCAGAGCAGTGGGTAAGCGCTCGACGAATATAAGCATTGAGAACACTGGCTTTGTATCTTTGGGGGCACTCACTTCTACCGTTCAGGCATAATCCTATGTTGGTGGGCTTGGTATATACCAAGCCCACCAACTATATACTATGCACCAACATAGGATTATGCCTGAACGGTAGAAGTGAGTGCCCCCAAAGATACAAAGCCAGTGTTCTCAATGCTTATATTCGTCGAGCGCTTACGCACTGCTCTGAATGGAGCAACGTGAGTAGAGAGTTTGAAAGAGTAACTCAGGTATTGGTGAACAACGGATATGTTCTGTTCTGTGTTTTATGGGGTAACTTGAGTAAACCGCAGTGTCCCAGCCATGTGCTATGGTTTACCCTCTCAGTTACCGCAGTAGTCTCAGGAGACTATGGAGTTGCGCTCTGGTTGTCGGTTTGGAGTGGCCTCTCCAGGGCACAAAGCCACGGTAGGTTGATACGGGGGAGAAGCTGTTACCCATGCAGCAGGTCCTCCCCTCTCCAGGGCACAAAGCCAGGGTAGGGTGATACGGGGGAGAAGCTGTTACCCATGCAGTGGGTGATCAGTTTTTTAATCAGTGAGTGATCATTATGTAAGGGGTTTATTTACACATTTACAGTATCTCACCTATAAATGTAAATTACAGGAACTTGTAGATCCTCATCCACTTGGATTGGTCGGTATAGCGATGGCCTTGTATCTTACTGAGTCGGCGTTCGATCTCCGATGGTCCAAGTGACTGGGAATTGTTCCTTCACTCACGCCCTCTCATCCCAACTCCTTGTCCTCATGTCCCTCACAATTGCCGTAACATATTGACCTAACACTTTCACCTGAGAGTTACCTAAACTAGCACATTCTTACCAGGAAGTTCTGACCCTCAACACGGATCAAAATGTCAACATAAGAACAAAGGCAACTGCAGAAGGCCTATTGGCCCATACGAGGCAGCTCCTATATATAACCACCCAATCCCACCAATTTATTTATTTAAACATCTATTTATTTATTTATTTATTTAATTTTTTATTTATATATATACAAGAAGGTACATTGGGTTAGTGAGAATACATAGCATAGTATTTACAATCTTGTAAAGCCACTAGTACGCGCAGCGGTTCGGGCTCATTTCAACTAGCTTCTATAAGATGGTCGTCCTCTGCTTGTCTCAATTAAGTCATCATTTTCTGACGTTTGATTAATTAACTTCCTTCCCCCTGACTCCTACCTCCAGTCAGGTGGGTAGAATAACTCTCCCAGGGTAGAATAACTCTTACATGGTAGAATAACTCACAGGGTAGAATAACTCTGGCAGGGTAGAATAACTCTCCCAGGGTAGAATAACTCTTACAGGGTAGAATAACTCACAGGGTAGAATAACTGTGGCAGGGTAGAATAACTCTCCCAGGGTAGAATAATAACTGTGGCAGGGTAGAATAACTCTCCCAGGGTAGAATAATAACTGGCAGGGTAGAATACCTCTCCCAGGGTAGAATAACTCTCCCAGGATAGAATAACTCTCCCAGGGTAGAATAATAACTGGCAGGGTAGAATACCTCTCCCAGGGTAGAATAACTCTCCCAGGATAGAATACCTCTCCCAGGGTAGAATACCTCTCCCAGGGTAGAATAACTCTCCCAGGGTAGATGCAAGTCAGTAGGAGTATCTGGGGTTACTAACACGGTGTGCCCAACAGGTACACGGTGAAGCACATCTACAACGTATCGCCGCCCAGGGAGCCGACCCCCGTCAGCGTGACGGTCTTCACCTACGCCGACCAGGTGCACGTGGCCGTAGCCGCCCGCAGGACCCTTCCCGCCGCCCGCGCCATCACCACCTCCATTCTCAGGGAGTTCGAGAACCAGGTGGGCTTCTACCTCTATGTTATCCTATCCCAGTGGCAGGTGTGGTAATACCGCCTGTAGTCACCCACAGCCAGTCACGTCACGCGCCCACTCAATCATTATGTTTCAGACAGATAGCAAGCCATCCATCCACTCTCGGAGACCAGTGTTGGTGGTGGTGTGGGCAGGTGTAGGGTGGTGGTGTGGGTGTGGGCAGGTGTAGGGTGTTGGTGGTGGTGTGGGCAGGTGTAGGGTGGTGGTGTGGGTGTGGGCAGGTGTAGTGTGTTGGTGTTGGTGTGGGCAGGTGTAGTGTGTTGGTGTTGATGTGGGCAGGTGTAGTGTGTTGGTGGTGGTGTGGGCAGGTGTAGGGTGTTGGTGGTGGTGTGGGCAGGTGTAGGGTGGTGGTGTGGGTGTGGACAGGTGTAGTGTGTTGGTGTTGATGTGGGCAGGTGTAGTGTGTTGGTGTTGATGTGGGCAGGTGTAGTGTGTTGGTGGTGGTGTGGGCAGGTGTAGGGTGTTGGTGGTGGTGTGGGCAGGTGTAGTGTATTGGTGGTGGTGTGGGCAGGTGTAGGGTGTTGGTGGTGGTGTGGGCAGGTGTAGTGTGTTGGTGGTGGTGTGGGCAGGTGTAGTGTGTTGGTGGTGGTGTGGGCAGGTGTAGTGTGTTGGTGGTGGTGTGGGCAGGTGTAGTGTGTTGGTGGTGGTGTGGGCAGGTGTAGTGTGTTGGTGGTGGTGTGGGCAGGTGTAGTGTGTTGGTGGTGGTGTGGGGCAGGTGTAGTGTGTTGGTGGTGGTGTGGGCAGGTGTATAGTGTGTTGGTGGTGGTGTGGGCAGGTGTAGTGTGTTGGTGGTGGTGTGGGGCAGGTGTAGTGTGTTGGTGGTGGTGTGGGGCAGGTGTAGTGTGTTGGTGGTGGTGTGGGGCAGGTGTACTGTGTTGGTGGTGGTGTGGGGCAGGTGTAGTGTGTTGGTGGTGGTGTGGGGCAGGTGTAGTGTGTTGGTGGTGGTGTGGGGCAGGTGTAGTGTGTTGGTGGTGTTTTCCCATTCTCTCTCTCTCATTTCTCTTGCTCCTTCCAAGTGGAAGTTCCAACATTCTTCTATTCCCAACCCGTCCTCGACATTGTCCATTACATCCAGCGGTCGACGCCACAGACGCATTCATAAATTTTTACATGCTGTTCATTTATAACGGGAATTTTCTAAAATATAAATTAAGTTGACCAGACCGCACACTAGAAGGTGAAGGGACGACGACGTTTCGGTCCGTCCTGGACCATTCTCAAGTCGATTGTGAACAGAACAGAACACAATCGACTTGAGAATGGTCCAGGACGGACCGAAACGTCGTCGTCCCTTCACCTTCTTGTGTGTGGTCTGGTCAACATACTTCAGCTACGTTAGTGTGACTTATCGCCTGCAATATAAATTAATATTATAATATATTAGCATATTATGCATATATAGGAATAGTTTAGGTTAGGTGTTTAGGTTCTGTTGGCGATTATTTGTATTTGTAGTACGTGGGTGAAGCATTTATAGCGTTGTGGTTCGAACACAAGTCGTCAGTGAAGCACTTGTTCCGGAAGTGTTCGGACGTCATCAGTTGTGAGTCGTGTGTAAACCGTTTGTCATTCATAAACACCTGGGGGTTTGGCGGGTGGGTGGAATGGTCTTTGGGCCTTTGTTTGGAGGACGGGCTGCAGATTCACTAAGCAGTTACGCAAGCACTAAAGAACCTGTGCATCTTTTCTCAATCTTTGACGGCTTTGTTTACAATTATTAAACAGTTAATGAGCTCCGAAGCACCAGGAGACTGTTTATAACAATAACAACAATTGAATGGCAAGTTTTCATGCTTGTAAACTGTTTAATAAATGTAGCCAAAGCCGTCAAAGATTGAGGAAAGATGTACACGTTCGTAAGTGCTTGCGTAAGTACTTTCTTGAATCTGGCCCCAGACCCCTTGGAGTCAGCACTTCATTAATAGAAACCAAATCATCAAATTAGACTAACAAATAGGGGTGGAGCAGGTATTAGCAGGTGTTGGATCCATTAGATCCTGCTAATAGTTACCTCTTATCATAACGTCATCGAGAGTTAGGGTGTGGTACACCCATTATCACTCTTGGGGAGACACGCTGTGGGGCGGTCCACTTGAAGAATGGGCAGCCTTTGGTGTGTGTGTGTGTGTGTGTGTGTGTGTGTGTGTGTGTGTGTGTGTGTGTGTGTGTGTGTGTGTGTGTGTGTGTGTGTGTCATAGCTGTATATATATGGCAACCCATCCTCCTGGTTAGATAGTTCAATCCAATCTTTAAATCCAACATTATGTTTGTAACTAATCCTCTATGAAGGTACTTTTACCTGAATAAACATTTGATTTGATTAGATAGTACCTAGTGTGACGGTCAATAGTCAGATTCTTAGCTTTTAGATAGTGGTATACTGACTAGTAAGGAAGTCCTTTAAAATCAATGCTGCTAAATACACTAACTTAAATATTCCTAGGCCTATTATAGCACACATGTGTACTATATTAGGCCTCGGATATCGTGCATTAGGCCTAGGGAGGTTAGGGAAGGCTAGTTTATTTTGTCAATGGAACACCAGTAAAAAATAGTTTTCCGGTTTGTCCAACTCAATAGTTCAGATTTCTACTTTCTAATTTCATTGTAGGTTTGTATATATATACTATGGCCCTCGTGGTTACTATAACTACCACCACAACACGAGGACGGGTTGTGGTGGTAGTTGTAGTTAAAGGATATTTATTAAGGAGACTTACAAACGGGTGAAGAAAGGCTCTCCTTTCATTAGCACTGTGCAGCACTATACTACTGTGAAGCTGTGAAGCAGTTTAGTACTGTAAGGCGCTAGTGTGTCACTGTGAGGCGCTAGTGTGTCACTGTGAGGCGCTAGTGTGTCACTGTGAGGCGCTAGTGTGTCACTGTGAGGCGCTAGTGTGTCACTGTGAGGCGCTAGTGTGTCACTGTGAGGCGCTAATGTGCCACTGTGAGGCGCTAGTGTGCCACTGTGAGGCGCTAGTGTGTCACTGTGAGGCGCTAGTGTGTCACTGTGAGGCGCTAGTGTGTCACTGTGAGGCGCTAGTGTGTCACTGTGAGGCGCTAGTGTGTCACTGTGAGGCGCTAGTGTGTCACTGTGAGGCGCTAGTGTGTCACTGTGAGGCGCTAGTGTGTCATTGTGAGGCGCTAGTGTGTCACTGTGAGGCGCTAGTGTGCCACTGTGAGGCAGTGAGGCACTGTGAGGCGCTAGTGTGCCACTGTGAGGCAGTGAGGCACTGTGAGGCGCTAGTGTGCCACTGTGAGGCAGTGAGGCACTGTGAGGCGCTAGTGTGTCACTGTGAGGCGCTAGTGTGCCACTGTGAGGCGCTAGTGTGTCACTGTGAGGCGCTAGTGTGTCACTGTGAGGCGCTAGTGTGTCACTGTGAGGCGCTAGTGTGTCACTGTGAGGCGCTAATGTGCCACTGTGAGGCGCTAGTGTGTCACTGTGAGGCGCTAGTGTGTCATTGTGAGGCGCTAGTGTGTCACTGTGAGGCGCTAGTGTGTCACTGTGAGGCGCTAGTGTGTCACTGTGAGGCGCTAGTGTGTCATTGTGAAGCGCTAGTGTGCCACTGTGAGGCAGTGAGGCACTGTGAGGCGCTAGTGTGCCACTGTGAGGCAGTGAGGCCCTGTGAGGCGCTAGTGTGCCACTGTGAGGCAGTGAGGCACTGTGAGGCGCTAGTGTGTCACTGTGAGGCGCTAGTGTGCCACTGTGAGGCGCTAGTGTGTCACTGTGAGGCGCTAGTGTGTCACTGTGAGGCAGTGAGGCACTGTGAGACGCTAGTGTGCCACTGTGAGGCGCTAGTGTGTCACTGTGAGGCGCTAGTGTGTCACTGTGAGGCGCTAGTGTGTCACTGTGAGGCGCTAGTGTGTCACTGTGAGGCGCTAGTGTGTCACTGTGAGGTGCTAGTGTACCACTGTGAGGCGCTAGTGTACCACTGTGAGGCGCTAGTGTGTCACTGTGAGGCGCTAGTGTGTCACTGTGAGGCGCTAGTGTGTCACTGTGAGGCGCTAGTGTGTCACTGTGAGGCGCTAGTGTGCCACTGTGAGGCGCTAGTGTGCCACTGTGAGGCGCTAGTGTGTCACTGTGAGGCGCTAGTGTGCCACTGTGAGGCGCTAGTGTGCCACTGTGAGGCGCTAGTGTGCCACTGTGAGGCGCTAGTGTACCACTGTGAGGCGCTAGTGTGTCACTGTGAGGCGCTAGTGTGTCACTGTGAGGCGCTAGTGTGTCACTGTGAGGCGCTAGTGTGTCACTGTGAGGCGCTAGTGTGTCACTGTGAGGCGCTAGTGTGTCACTGTGAGGCGCTAGTGTGTCACTGTGAGGCGCTAGTGTGTCACTGTGAGGCGCTAGTGTGTCATTGTGAGGCGCTAGTGTGTCACTGTGAGGTGCTAGTGTGTCACTGTGAGGCGCTAGTGTGCCACTGTGAGGCGCTAGTGTGCCACTGTGAGGCGCTAGTGTGTCACTGTGAGGCGCTAGTGTGTCACTGTGAGGCGCTAGTGTGTCACTGTGAGGCGCTAGTGTGCCACTGTGAGGCGCTAGTGTGCCACTGTGAGGCGCTAGTGTGTCACTGTGAGGCGCTAGTGTGTCACTGTGAGGCGCTAGTGTGTCACTGTGAGGCGCTAGTGTGTCACTGTGAGGCGCTAGTGTGTCACTGTGAGGCGCTAGTGTGTCACTGTGAGGCGCTAGTGTGTCACTGTGAGGCGCTAGTGTGTCACTGTGAGGCGCTAGTGTGTCATTGTGAGGCGCTAGTGTGTCACTGTGAGGCGCTAGTGTGCCACTGTGAGGCAGTGAGGCACTGTGAGGCGCTAGTGTGCCACTGTGAGGCAGTGAGGCACTGTGAGGCGCTAGTGTGCCACTGTGAGGCAGTGAGGCACTGTGAGGCGCTAGTGTGTCACTGTGAGGCGCTAGTGTGCCACTGTGAGGCGCTAGTGTGTCACTGTGAGGCGCTAGTGTGTCACTGTGAGGCGCTAGTGTGTCACTGTGAGGCGCTAGTGTGTCACTGTGAGGCGCTAGTGTGCCACTGTGAGGCGCTAGTGTGTCACTGTGAGGCGCTAGTGTGTCATTGTGAGGCGCTAGTGTGTCACTGTGAGGCGCTAGTGTGTCACTGTGAGGCGCTAGTGTGTCACTGTGAGGCGCTAGTGTGTCACTTGTGAGGCGCTAGTGTGCCACTGTGAGGCAGTGAGGCACTGTGAGGCGCTAGTGTGCCACTGTGAGGCAGTGAGTGCCCTGTGAGGCGCTAGTGTGCCACTGTGAGGCAGTGAGGCACTGTGAGGCGCTAGTGTGTCACTGTGAGGCGCTAGTGTGCCACTGTGAGGCGCTAGTGTGTCACTGTGAGGCGCTAGTGTGTCACTGTGAGGCAGTGAGGCACTGTGAGGCGCTAGTGTACCACTGTGAGGCGCTAGTGTGTCACTGTGAGGCGCTAGTGTGTCACTGTGAGGCGCTAGTGTGTCACTGTGAGGCGCTAGTGTGTCACTGTGAGGCGCTAGTGTGTCACTGTGAGGCGCTAGTGTACCACTGTGAGGCGCTAGTGTGTCACTGTGAGGCGCTAGTGTGTCACTGTGAGGCGCTAGTGTGTCACTGTGACGCGCTAGTGTGTCACTGTGAGGCGCTAGTGTGTCACTGTGAGGCGCTAGTGTGCCACTGTGAGGCGCTAGTGTGCCACTGTGAGGCGCTAGTGTGTCACTGTGAGGCGCTAGTGTGCCACTGTGAGGCGCTAGTGTGCCACTGTGAGGCGCTAGTGTGCCACTGTGAGGCGCTAGTGTACCACTGTGAGGCGCTAGTGTGTCACTGTGAGGCGCTAGTGTGTCACTGTGAGGCGCTAGTGTGTCACTGTGAGGCGCTAGTGTGTCACTGTGAGGCGCTAGTGTACCACTGTGAGGCGCTAGTGTGTCACTGTGAGGCGCTAGTGTGTCACTGTGAGGCGCTAGTGTGTCACTGTGAGGCGCTAGTGTGCCACTGTGAGGCGCTAGTGTGTCACTGTGAGGCGCTAGTGTGTCATTGTGAGGCGCTAGTGTGTCACTGTGAGGCAGTGAGGCACTGTGAGGCGCTAGTGTGTCACTGTGAGGCGCTAGTGTGCCACTGTGAGGCGCTAGTGTGTCACTGTGAGGCGCTAGTGTGTCACTGTGAGGCAGTGAGGCACTGTGAGGCGCTAGTGTGTCACTGTGAGGCGCTAGTGTGAGGCGCTAGTGTGCCACTGTGAAGCGCTAGTGTGTCACTGTGAGGCGCTAGTGTGTCACTGTGAGGCGCTAGTGTCACTGTGAGGCGCTAGTGTGTCACTGTGAGGCGCTAGTGTGTCACTGTGAGGCGCTAGTGTGTCACTGTGAGGCAGTGAGGCACTGTGAGGCGCTAGTGTGTCACTGTGAGGCGCTAGTGTGCCACTGTGAGGCAGTGTGTCACTGTGAGGCGCTAGTGTGTCACTGTGAGGCAGTGAGGCACTGTGAGGCGCTAGTGTGCCACTGTGGTTCAGTGAGGCACTGTGAGGCGCTAGTGTGCCACTGTGAGGCGCTAGTGTGCCACTGTGAGGCGCTAGTGTGCCACTGTGAGGCGCTAGTGTGAGGCGCTAGTGTGCCACTGTGAGGCGCTAGTGTGCCACTGTGAGGCGCTAGTGTGCCACTGTGAGGCGCTAGTGTGTCACTGTGAGGCGCTAGTGTGTCACTGTGAGGCGCTAGTGTGTCACTGTGAGGCGCTAGTGTGTCACTGTGAGGCGCTAGTGTGCCACTGTGAGGCGCTAGTGTGTCACTGTGAGGCGCTAGTGTGTCACTGTGAGGCGCTAGTGTGTCACTGTGAGGCGCTAGTGTGTCACTGTGAGGCGCTAGTGTGTCACTGTGAGGCGCTAGTGTGTCACTGTGAGGCGCTAGTGTGTCACTGTGAGGCGCTAGTGTACCACTGTGAGGCGCTAGTGTGCCACTGTGAGGCGCTAGTGTGCCACTGTGAGGCGCTAGTGTGTCACTGTGAGGCGCTAGTGTGCCACTGTGAGGCGCTAGTGTGTCACTGTGAGGCGCTAGTGTGTCACTGTGAGGCGCTAGTGTGCCACTGTGAGGCGCTAGTGTGCCACTGTGAGGCGCTAGTGTGCCACTGTGAGGCGCTAGTGTGCCACTGTGAGGCAGTGAGGCACTGTGGTACCATTACAACACTGGTTGTCTGCCGACAGTGCGAACAGATGTCGGAGCTTCTGGCCAACCGACGCATCCCTGGCGAGCAGCGACGGGGCCTCGTCTTCAGCCTCGGGGACCTCAATAGTGGCCAGTCCATCACTGACGTGAGTACCCCTTCACCCCCTCACCCCCTCACGACCCTCCACGGCCCCTCACGACCCTCCACGACCCTCCACGGCCCCTCACGACCCTCCACGACCCTCCACGACCCTCCACGACCCTTCACGACCCTTCAGGCCATCAGTGACGTGAGTACCCCCCTCCCCCCCTCTCCCCCTTCACCCCTCACCCCCTCACGACCCTCCACGACCCTCCACGACCCTCCAGGTGACGTGAGTACCCCCTTCACCTCACTCCCCCCCCATCACGACTCCCCAAACCAATAGTGACTTGAGTACCCATTTTCACACCCCTCTTATGGTCGTGTATATAGCATGGTCATGTGTAGAGCTGTAGATAGCATGGTCATGTGTAGAGCTGTAGATAGCATGGTCATGTGTAGAGCTGTAGATAGCATGGTCATGTGTAGAGCTGTACATAGCATGGTCATGTGTAGAGCTGTACATAGCATGGTCGTGTGTGTAGAGCTGTACATAGCATGGTCGTGTGTGGAGCTGTACATAGCATGGTCGTGTGTAGAGCTGTACATAGCATGGTCATGTGTAGTGCTGTACATAGCATGGTCGTGTGTAGAGCTGTACATAGCATGGTCATGTGTAGAGCTGTACATAGCATGGTCATGTGTAGAGCTGTACATAGCATGGTCATGTGTAGAGCTGTACATAGCATGGTCATGTGTAGAGCTGTACATAGCATGGTCATGTGTAGAGCTGTACATAGCATGGTCATGTGTAGAGCTGTACATAGCATGGTCATGTGTAGAGCTGTATATAGCATGGTCATGTGTAGAGCTGTACATAGCATGGTCATGTGTAGAGCTGTACATAGCATGGTCATGTGTAGAGCTGTACATAGCATGGTCGTGTGTAGAGCTGTACATAGCATGGTCGTGTGTAGAGCTGTACATAGCATGGTCGTGTGTAGAGCTGTACATAGCATGGTCGTGTGTAGAGCTGTACATAGCATGGTCGTGTGTAGAGCTGTACATAGCATGGTCATGTGTAGAGCTGTACATAGCATGGCCATGTGTAGAGCTGTACATAGCATGGTCGTGTGTAGAGCTGTACATAGCATGGTCGTGTGTAGAGCTGTACATAGCATGGTCGTGTGTAGAGCTGTACATAGCATGGTCGTGTGTAGAGCTGTACATAGCATGGTCGTAGCTACACAGGTGTAACAGGCAGGTGTATAATGTACTTAGCAGGACAGTGCGACATGATTGGCCGACAGCCCTCCTGATTTTGGTCCAAAATTAATCTGATTAATTATATTTTGTTACTGTTATTTATATGTTATATAAAATGCTTTTGTTGTTACTGATCGCAAATAATTTTTGTTTTAACTTGAATGTAATTGAAATGTATTTATTTCACTCTACTTGGTTGATAGTTGTTGTACAAAGTTGTACAGAGTTGTACAGAGTTGTACAAATCCGCCAAACACACACCGAAACTACGACGTTGGTACAACGTTCGAACAAGTTTTAACACCACCTAACCAGTTATAACAACCAATATAGCAAGTTGTAACAACGTTCTAATACGTCATAAACACGTTAAGCCAAGATGTAACAACTTTATTACAAGTTGTAACAAGCGGAAAATAGAGACAAATTTCGGTTTGTGTTTCCAGGGAAGGGATCTTTGTACTTCTGTACAGATCCAAAAGTTAATATTCTGTACATCCAGCATGATGATGAACCCTTCAATATATTTTTATTATATAATTCCTGGACTCCCGGACTCTGAATAATGTATGAACAGGGCCTCGTAGCCTGGTGGATAGCGCGCAGGACTCGTAATTCTGTGGCGCGGGTTCGATTCCCGCTCGAGGCAGAAACAAATGGGCAAAGTTTCTTTCACCCTGAATGCCCCTGTTACCTAGCAGTAAATAGGTAACCTGGGAGTTAGTCAGCTGTCACGGGCTGCTTCCTGGGGGTGGAGGCCTGGTCGAGGACCGGGCCGCGGGGACACTAAAGCCCCGAAATCATCTCAAGATAATCTCAAGATGGAAGGTCAATAGACTAAGCAACTTGCTTTACAGAATATCTTCTTTTCGGAGAGCAAATTGAGCAATATTTCCTCACGGATCAAATATCATGATACATGATATCAAATAATGAATATGATATCAAATCGACTCGATAACAGTCCAGGACGGAGCGAAACGTCGTCGTCTCCTCATCATCTGGTCATCATATCAAAATATATGAGTTGATCACCATATAAAATTATATTCAAGAATTAAAGAACTTATTGGAAACAATTCTATTATCAAATTTTCATGTAGTAAATTCCTGGAACCGGATTCTAAATCTACACTGTCGTTTGGACAGGTTGGAGTCTACACTGTCGTTTAGACAGGTCAGTCTACACTGTTGTTTAGACAGGTCAGTCTAACCTGTTGTTTAGACAGGTTAGAGTCTACACTGTTGTTTAGACAGGTTGGAGTCTACACTGTTGTTTAGACAGGTCGGAGTCTACACTGTTGTTTAGACAGGTCGGAGTCTACACTGTTGTTTAGACAGGTTGGTGTCTAAACTGTTGTTTGGACAGGTTGGAGTCTACACTGTTGTTTAGACAGGTCAGAGTAGACAGGTCAGTCTACTCTGTTGTTTAGACAGGTCAGAGTCTACACTGTCGTTTAGACAGGTCAGAGTCTACACTGTTGTTTTGCGACAGTATAGAGCGATTCGGACTGGGTTCGTATCCTGGCCGGGGAGGATTGACTAGGCACTAATCCTCAACTGTAGCCTCTGTTCACCCAGCAATAAATGGGTACCTGGTTGTTACATGAAAATTAGCATTAAGGACCTGCCCGGAACGCTACGCGTACTAGTGACTGTACAAAAATGTAAGAACTCTTGTATATATAAATGAAAAAAATCTATTGTACTTGTTGACATCTTGTAGGATTAAAGCCGTTGGGGGGCCAGATTCACGAAGCAGTTACGCAAGCACTTACGAACGTAAGTGCTTGCGTAAATGCTTACGAACGTAAGTGCTCGGTTACATTTATTAAACGGTTTACAAGCATGAAAACTTGCCAATCAACTGTTGTTATTGTTATAAACAGCCTCCTGGTGCTTCGGAGCTCATTAACTGTTTAATAATTGCAAACAAAGCCGCCAAAGATTGAGAAAAGATGTACAGGTTCGTAAGTGTTTGCGTAACTTCTTCGTGAATCTAGCCCCTGATAATGTACATACCCGTCGACTCTAGGGTCACATTTCGGCGTCCTGGGTTACTTTTAATCCTATTCTTTTAACTCATATTGCATCCAAAATTTGCCAGTGCCGGCTACTGAACACATGGCTCTGTATCACTAACCATCCTGCGAGATGGGGACTTGTATTACCACTGCTGCCTTATTCACTCTTGTGTTGTTGATATCCTCATAATGCATCCGGAGTCTGTCAGTGCAGACTGCTTATCACATGGCTCTGTATGACTAACCATCCTGTGTGATGGGGATTGTAGCATCACGTAGCTAGTTTGTTGACACTCTGTACTCCCCTTCATATAGTCTAGGGCAGCTAGTTCTTGACACACTCTGTACTCCCCTTCATATAGTCTAGGGCAGCTAGTTCTTGACACACACTGTACTCCCCTTCATATAGTCTAGGGCAGCTAGTTCTTGACACACACTGTACTCCCCTTCATATAGTCTAGGGCAGCTAGTTCTTGACACACTCTGTACTCCCCTTCATATAGTCTAGGGCAGCTAGTTCTTGACACACACTGTACTCCCCCTCATATAGTCTAGGGCAGCTAGTTCTTGACACACACTATACTCCCCTTCATATAGTCTAGGGCAGCTAGTTCTTGACACACACTGTACTCCCCTTCATATAGTCTAGGGCAGCTAGTTCTTGACACACACTGTACTCCCCTTCATATAGTCTAGGGCAGCTAGTTCTTGACACACACTGTACTCCCCCTCATATAGTCTAGGGCAGCTAGTTCTTGACACACACTATACTCCCCTTCATATAGTCTAGGGCAGCTAGTTCTTGACACACACTGTACTCCCCTTCATATAGTCTAGGGCAGCTAGTTCTTGACACACACTGTACTCCCCTTCATATAGTCTAGGGCAGCTAGTTCTTGACACACTCTGTACTCCCCTTCATATAGTCTAGGGCAGCTAGTTCTTGACACACTCTGTACTCCCCTTCATATAGTCTAGGGCAGCTAGTTCTTGACACACACTGTACTCCCCTTCATATAGTCTAGGGCAGCTAGTTCTTGACACACACTGTACTCCCCTTCATATAGTCTAGGGCAGCTAGTTCTTGACACACACTGTACTCCCCTTCATATAGTCTAGGGCAGCTAGTTCTTGACACACTCTGTACTCCCCTTCATATAGTCTAGGGCAGCTAGTTCTTGACACACACTGTACTCCCCTTCATATAGTCTAGGGCAGCTAGTTCTTGACACACACTGTACTCCCCTTCATATAGTCTAGGGCAGCTAGTTCTTGACACACACTGTACTCCCCTTCATATAGTCTAGGGCAGCTAGTTCTTGACACACACTGTACTCCCCTTCATATAGTCTAGGGCAGCTAGTTCTTGACACACTCTGTACTCCCCTTCATATAGTCTAGGGCAGCTAGTTCTTGACACACACTGTACTCCCCTTCATATAGTCTAGGGCAGCTAGTTCTTGACACACACTGTACTCCCCTTCATATAGTCTAGGGCAGCTAGTTCTTGACACACACTGTACTCCCCTTCATATAGTCTAGGGCAGCTAGTTCTTGACACACACTGTACTCCCCTTCATATAGTCTAGGGCAGCTAGTTCTTGACACACACTGTACTCCCCTTCATATAGTCTAGGGCAGCTAGTTCTTGACACACACTGTACTCCCCTTCATATAGTCTAGGGCAGCTAGTTCTTGACACACACTGTACTCCCCTTCATATAGTCTAGGGCAGCTAGTTCTTGACACACACTGTACTCCCCTTCATATAGTC